CTCAAGCCAGGGCCTGGGGGCTCCCCGCCTCTCTCCCTGGCAGGCTGGTTCTTCAGGGCTCCTGGCCTCCAGACACACCCTGCACATCCGTGCCAGGCACCTGCTGCAGCCGGCCCAGGGACAAGGGGGTCAGGGCTTGGGGTGGGGGTTGGTTCCACAGCCTCAGCCCCAGGAGAAGGGCCTGGGATCCCCGAACAGTCGGTTCTCGGAGGCGCTGGGTGTTCTCACTGCCCCGGCTCCCACGCCCTGCTCAGAGTGCAGCTGGGGCTAACCGAGCAGACCTGGAGCGTCTCCTCCTGGCTCAGTCGCCCTGCTTGAGGCCTACCGGGGGCTAACCGAGCTATTGTCTCCTTTCCTCTTGCAGGGCTCCAGAAGTGGGTGGAGGTGGGGAACTCGGGAGTGTTCCGCCCAGAGATGCTGCTGCCCATGGGCCTGCCGGAGGGGGTGTCGGTCATCGCTTGGGGCCTCTCTCTGGAGCGGTGAGGAAACACGGGGCAGGGGTGGGCACAGGCACGTTCCCAGGAAGCTGAAGAGTCCCAGTGGGAATCCTGCCCACTAGCCGCTCATTTTATCTGCTGCATTGTGCAGCTCCATCCTTTGTGGAGGAGAACCCAGGAGCTCTACCTACCCCACCTCTAACCAGTGAGCCACACTCCCTTCCTGGAGTTGGGACGGGAACCTAGGAGTCCTGGCTCCCTCTGCTCTAATCACTGGACCCTCCTCTCCTCTGAGCTGGCCAAAGAACCACGAGTTGAGACACCGCTCATTTTATCTGCTGCATTGTGCAGCTCCATCCTTTGTGGAGGAGAACCCAGGAGCTCTACCTACCCCACCTCTAACCAGTGAGCCACACTCCCTTCCTGGAGTTGGGACGGGAACCTAGGAGTCCTGGCTCCCTCTGCTCTAATCACTGGACCCTCCTCTCCTCTGAGCTGGCCAAAGAACCACGAGTTGAGACAAACCTTCCCTCTAATGGGTTCGTTCTACAGCTTACGGGCGATGAACCCAGGAGTCCTGAGACTCCCTGTCTAACCACTAGCCCACACTCCCTTCCCTAGCTCATTCCCTCCCCCTGCCTCCCAGCTCCAGCACAGGGTGGGAATAAGTCCTGGCTCCTCCTCCCCTGCTCTGATAAGCTGGCCAAGCCTCTGTATCCTGATTCCAGAGGCTTTGCTGTAACCACTGGACCTGCTAGCCCTGCCCTCCCTGACTGTGCCGGGAGTGAGGGGTGCTGGCAAGGCAGGGGAAGGAGACAGGGCTGGGCTGGCAGGGGCTGTGGGCTGGGAATGAGGGGCACTGGCAGGGCTGGGGATCTGGCTGACCTGTCCCCTAAGCGCCCAACAGGGAGTCCCTTTAGGGAGATGGGAGGGGCTCCTGCTGACTTACCCATAATGCCTGCCTTCTGCCCCAGCCCCACCATGATCAAATACGGCATCAACAACATCCGGGAGCTGGTCGGGCACAAGGTGAACCTGCAGATGGTCTACGATGGCCCCCTCTGCCGCCTCGACGCGTAGGGCCCCGCCGGCCCCCCTCTCCGCGCTGCCGCCTCGACGCATAGGGCCTTCTGGGCCAGCCCCAGATTCATTTGTGCCCTCTTTGGGGGCTGGGGCTGCCCCCTTCTGGGGCAGAGGGCTGGCAGGGTGCCCTGGCCCCCTCCTGTCCAGCCTGTTCTACTCTCCCCTGGGGAACATGGACCTTTTAGCCCCCCCCGGGGCCAGTTCTACCCCAATAAAGGACTGGTGCCTGGGCTGGTGCCTGTGCTCTGTTTGGGAGGGGGGTGAGGGCACCTCCCCATGGAGCATGCACCCTGTGTTTGGCGGGGGTGGGTAGGACTTTTGGGGCCTGCTGAGGGTGGCAGCCAGGCCTGTGCCTTGCCCAGCTGGGTACAGGCAGTTCAGCGGCCTAAGTGTCAGGCCTGCTGGGTTCTCTCCCAGTCATGGGGCATCCTTGGGCACAGCCCAGCCCCATTTGTACAGGGGGGCAGCTGCAGCATGTGGGGAGGCGGGGAGTTCCTGGCCCTCAGTCCCTGAACAGGGCCTGTGCCCAGACTGGCAAGCTTTTCCACAAAAGCAGCTGCTTTTGCGGAAAATCTTGCCAGCTGTCTACACTGGCTGCTTGACTTTGTGGAAGAACAATGACGATCTTGCATCAGCTCGTAAGATGGTCTGATGTAAGGATAGTCAGTGTTCTTCCGCAGATACTATGATGCTCCCGTTCGGGGGAAAAAGCCATATTGTGTAAATGTATTTGTGCAAGAGGGCCAGTGTAGACAGCTCAGGACTGTTTTGCGCACAAACACCCCGATGGCGAAAATGGCGAGCGGGGCTTTCTTGCGCAAAACCGCGTCTAGATTGGCAAGGACGCTTTTCCGCAAAAGTGTCTGTGCCAATCTAGACCCTCTTTTCCGCAAATGCTTTTAACAGAAACATGTTTCCGTTCAAAGCATTTGCGGAAAGTCATGTCAGTCTAGATGCAGCCGAGGCCCGCTCTGAGCCCCTGTTCCCTCAGTGCAGAGCTGGGGTGCAGCTCTGGGCGCTGCTGGGTGGGAGCGGGGCGGTAGCAGTGATTGGGGGGCTGCCCAGGGCTGGGTGAGCGGGGGCTGCCTGCTCGGAGGGAGGGGTGCAGGCCTGGGGCTGTGAACCAATGAGCAGAGCCACGGCCGTCTTCAGTCAGTTTTATTTTACAAACCGATCCCTGTCCTGGGTGCTGCCCGAGCCCTGGGGCGTTCCCCTCCCTCACGGGTGCCATGGACCGAGCCGAGTGCCCCCGTCTCCCTGCGTGGGGCATCTGGGCCTGTGGGGACCCCAGCCTGAGAGGCCGATAGGCAGCCCCGTCCGTGGGCACTGCCCGTCCTCCGTGGGGCTCTGCAGCACGTTGGGCTGGAAGCTAGCACAGTCCACTGGTTTCCTCGCTGGTATCCCCTGGGGATGCCGGACGACGGTCCTGCCCAGGGCTGGGTGGGGCCTGGCCCTACGTGGGCTGGGGCGCCCCCTGCAGTACGATGTGCACCTCGCTGTGGCTGTGGGGCTCGCCTCCGTGGGCACTGCCCGTCCTCCGTGGGGCTCTGCAGCACGTTGGGCTGGAAGCTAGCACAGTCCACTGGTTTCCTCGCTGGTATCCCCTGGGGATGCCGGACGACGGTCCTGCCCAGGGCTGGGTGGGGCCTGGCCCTACGTGGGCTGGGGCGCCCCCTGCAGTACGATGTGCACCTCGCTGTGGCTGTGGGGCTCGCCCGAGGGGTGTTGTGCAGAGTGAAATCCTGAGGGAGGCAGGGTCGGGGCGTCCAAGTCATTCTCCTTGTCAGGCACATCGGGCTGTGGCCCCAGCAGCCAGTCTGGGGGGAGATGGGACAGCAGTTGGATGTGGGGGTCCCTGTGTCATGACCCTCTCCCCAGCACTCTGGGATCTGTAACTTCCTTTGGGGGGAAACTGAGGCACAGAAATTACTTACCCAGGGTCAGGCAAGACTGGAACAGAGGAGAGGAGTCCTGACCCTCCCCTGCACCAGTCTGGGAAGGGAGTGGAATCTAGTGGTTAGAGGGGCCTAGGGACAGAGTTCTCTGTGTCCCCTCATATAGCTGCTACCTTTTTCCCCTCGAGGGGCAGCTTGGATGGCTCTGTCTGCTGGGGGTTCCCTGGGTCACAGCCTTGAGCTGCTGGGGGAAGCTGAGGCCCATTGGGGGAGGGGGGAGCCTGCTTCCTGTGTCATGGAGGAGGACTCCTCCCCCCCAGACAGGATGAGGCTTCCTCCAGGGGCACCGGGTCTTGTTCTCGGTTCACCCACGCCTTGGCCTACAGCTGCTTAGTCAGCCCACCTGGCCGGGCGGCCCTGGACTAGCTGCCAGCAAGTGGTGCCCTAGGCGAACCCTGCACTCGGCACCCCCACCTCCAAACCCCTCAGTGAACTTGCACCACCATTTGGCTCCCCATTTAACTTGGTGCCCTAGGCGACCGCCTAGTTCACCTATATGGACGGGCCACCCCTGTGTGTGTGTGGGGGGGCACTTGGAACCCAAAAGCCTACAACCCCCCCAGGTTTTAAGTTTTAGCAGCAGCTGTTTGCTCTTGGGCGAGGTGACTTCAGCTGGCAGGGCTGTCCCCACTGTTCCTGCACGAGCGCCTGCCTGCCAGGGGGTTGGTTGCGCCGACAGCTCTCGCCAGCGGCACAAGAGCAACTGCATCATGGGTGCAGCCTGGCCCTGTAGCGCTTGAAGGAGGGCAGGAAAAACCCCACACTTGGAATCATTTCCCAGCTTTTCAAGTAGCCTCACCCTGGGCTGCCGTAGGACTTGGGGCAAGTCTCCAACCTGTTCCGTGCCTCGGTTTCCCTGCGTGAAAAGGGGCTAATGCTGCACCCCTCTCAGCGCTTGGGGGCTGTCTGAGGCAAGGTGCTAGAGCAAAGGGGGGTTATAATATCCAGGAGTCACCTGGCTGCTATGCAGCCACCTCTGGGGTGGAACACGGAGGTTGTTTGGCACCCCACAGCACCAGCGTAGCATAAGTTGGGAAGCTGCCCTAGGCCCTGTGCTAGCAGCAGGGGGGTTACCGCTCGTACCCCTCGCGCAGCAGGGCCCAGCAGTCCTGCCCCAACTCACCTACAAAGTCGTGAGCCAGGTCCTTGATGAGGTGCCCCCCCCCAGCAGGGCCGCCATGAGGAGGTAGAGCACGGCCTTGGGCAGGGGGATGAGGTCGCGGACGGGCGGCTTGTACTCGCTGTACAGGGGCGACTGCTGCTGGGTCAGGAGCCCCAGCAGCTCCGTGCGGTTGAGACTGGTCAGGTTCCCAAGCTGCAGAGCGGACACAGCTTCCATGCCCTGGTGTGGGGGGCAGGGCCGAAGGGGATCTGCCTGGCGTGGGCGCTTCAGGGTGGGCGGAGACGGCCTGCAGCATGGGGACAAAGGTCCAGTTAGACCTATTACAGATGGGGAAACTGAGGCAAGGGATGGGGTGTGACTCGTAGTGAGCATTATACTGGCATTAGAGAAGGGCAACTAACATGCTGAGGGGTTTGGAACAGGTCCCATAGGAGGGGAGATTAAAGAGACTGGGACTTCTCAGCCTGGAAAAGAGGAGACTAAGGGGGGGATAGGCTAGAGCAGTGGTCCCCAACCTTTTTGGGTTGTCGGGCGCCAGGGGGCGTGGCCGTTTGCCCGCCGGGCGCCAGGGGGCGGGGCCCGGGGGTGCCCCCCTCCACAAACCGACTACAGATTCCTGAATTTCTTTATGGGTCAAAGCGTCTCATGAATTCCTTTAGCAGCTCCTACCAGCCCTGAATCCCAGGAACCAAAACTGCAGTGTTTACAATCAAATCGGTATGTCACTTGTAATCTGTGTCTCATCGGAGAGCTACCCAAGCTGCGCAAGTTGCTTCTCTTCCCTAATTGGCTGATGTGTATAACCCACCGGTGTGACGTTAGCGGCAAATGAAATCTGCAGGGAGTTTGGGCAGGCTCTCAGAGCTATGGACTCTTGTATTAAAGATATACTGGCATTAGAAAAAGTTCAGAAAAGGGCAACTACAATGATGAGGGGTTTGGAACGGGTCCCATACGAAGCGAGATTAAAAAGACTTGGACTTTTCAGCTTAGAAAAGAGGAGCCTAAGGGGGGATTGGATGGAGGTCTATAAAATCATGAGCGGGGTGGAGAAAGTGAATAAGGAAAAGTTCTTTACTTGTTCCCATAATAGAAGAACTAGGGGCCACCAAATGAAACTAATGGGCAGCAGGTTTAAAACAAATAAAAGGAAGTTCTTCTTCACACAGCGCAGAGTCAATCTGTGGAACTCCTTGCCACAGGAGGTTGTGAAGACTAGGACTGTAATGGTTTAAAAGAGAACTAGATAAATTCATGGAGGTTAAGTCCATTAATGGCCATTAGCAGGGCTTGACAAACAGCGGCGAAAGCCGTTCGCCAGCCCCGCACTGCGCATGCGCACGCTGCCGGTAAACGGGCCCGCGGCTGAAATCTACTCACCACGGGCGAGTAGATTCTATAGTTTGTCGAGCCCTGACTATTAGCAAATATGAGTAAGGAATGGTGTCCCTGGCCTCTGTGTGTCAGAGGGTGGAGATGGATGGCAGGAGAGAGTTCGCTTGCTCATTACCTGTTCGATTCACTCCCTCTGGGACACCTGTTATTGGGCACTGTCGGCAGACAGGGTACTGGCTGGATGGACCTTTGGTCTGCCCCAGACTGGCCGTTCTTATGTTCTAGTGTTTCAGTGATGGCTGGGAGTCATAAGAACTGTTGCACTGAGTCAGACAAACAGCTCACCTAGCCCAGTGTCCTGTGTTCTGTCTGGCCAATGCCAGGTGCCCCAGCAGGAGTGAACAGAACATGGAATCATCAAGTGATCCACCCCCTGTCACCTGTTCCCAGCTTCTGGCGAATACAGGCCAGGGACTCCCTCCCTGAACCTGTCCTCCATGAATTTGTCTAGTCCTTTTTTGAACTCTGGTAAAAACTGGTCTTCACAGCATCCTCTGGCAAGGAGTTCCACAGGTTGACTGTATATGGTGTGAAGAAATGCTTCCTTTTGTGGGGTCTATCTACCCCACCTCTAACCAGTGAGCCACACGCCCTTCCTGGAGTTGGGATGAGAACCTAGGAGTCCTGGCTCCCTCTGCTCTAACCACTGGATCCTACTCTCTGATCCACCCCCTGTCACCTGTTCCCAGCTTCTGGCGAATACAGGCCAGGGACTCCCTCCCTGAACCTGTCCTCCATGAATTTGTCTAGTCCTTTTT